TTAATATAATTTCACAACTACAACACAAAAAGAATTTCACAATTAACGAAACTAGATATATAAAAGTATATATGCATTATATATATATATATATATATAAATATTTATATATATATATATATATATATATATATATATATATATATATATATATATATATATATATATATATATATATATATATATATATATATATATATATATATGTAGGTGCATAAATTGTCAGGCAACATATTTTTCGTAGAAAGATACACAATCATTTTTTTTATTATCCTTTTTATCAAAATATAAAGTGGATACTTAAAATGTGATAAGAACCCAAAAATGACGACCTTAACTATTTCTCTCTAAAAAACAAAATAATTATATTAATAACAATACCTTTGTTTAATTCTGCTCTTAAAGCGGCTAATTCTGACAATATTAGTGCTAAACACAAATTTTTAAAAAAAAATTGATACCATATTCCAGATTGCAGTTAAAAAACAAAACAAATTAAAAGTAATGAAACTTACCAAATCTCTGGTCTGATGCTAAAAAAAGTAAAGTTTTAACTTAAAATAAACTATCAAATGATAAAGATATGCATATAAATTTCTACTAAACATAAACTAAAAAGTTATAAACTACAATACTTTATTTAATCAACACTTACCATCGTTAGCAGATGTTTCCATTACTTTATATATTAAAAAACTGTCTAATACTAAAATTGAACTATAAAAACTATAAAATTCAACTTAAACAGATTTATAGAAAATCAATTTTGAATAAATCACTTCATTGAATTAATGTTTAAATAAAACTTTCACAATTTAAGCTTAACCTATAAATTTCATTATAATTTATTATAACCTACATCTATTATAAATTTCATAACCTATAAAAGCTATAAAATTTATAACCTATATCTATGATAAACAGATTATACAAAGAAATCAAAACTTTAAGCGCCATATTGCAATGCTAATGAAATCTTTAACTAATACAGCACTAAATCTAAAAACATCTTTTTGAAACGTGCTTTTGCATAAATTACTTTTAATTTGAACAATTTATTAACTAAATGTTTACTCTTTGATCTTTATGCCTTTACTTTGTATATTTTAAATTTAAGTCAGTAAAAGAGAAATATCACCTAATATAATTACTTTTTTTACTATAATCTACTATAATATTAACTAATTAACTTTAGCAAAACATTAAAAAAAAAGTTCACCCAACAATATGGTTGCCCTGCCTAACAAGCATACTAAGAAACAAAAACAACAAAAATATTTATACATGTTTAAACTATCATAAGCAATGATACAACTAAATAACTTTAATAAAACAAAAACTGTAAATAAAATCTTAAAAGTTTTATAAAAAATTAAAAACTAAAACTAAAAACTATATTAAACTTTTGTAATGCTAGTGTTTTAAACAAATTAAAAAGTATTATTTAAAATATAAAATATGTGAAAATCCAAAAGTTGGAGTTAAATCTTCATCATCTGTGGTTTGGTCTAGTAGATTACAACTACTATTTGGACACGCATATTGGCTAAAAAAAGATTGAAATAATTTTAATTTGCATATACAAACAAACACGCAAATATTTATCCAGACATAAATATTTATTCTGTGATTTCCTTTACATTATATATATATATATATATATATATATATATATATATATATATATATATATATATATATATATATATATATATATATATATATACATATTTATTTATTAAAAATAAAACTAAAGTAAGTTTATAACTTTTTTTTATACAACACAATTTTGTAGAAGTAACACTGGTATAGTACCAGAAAAAATTTCTGGTCAAATCTGGATGATGTTTTTTTGTCGATCTTTTTCTTTTTTTTTTTTTACTTAACCTGAAACTTAATTAGTGGTGGCTTACTGCTCCGCTAAGAGTGACTTTATTAAAATAAAATAAAAAATAGTGCAAAAAATTCATAGGACAAGTCTTTCAATGACAGTTTGCTACATTTCAATGGATTGGTCTGGATAATATTTTCTATTGATTGGTCTAGATGGTCTCAGATAATTATTGATTGAGTGTGCTATTAAAAGAAACATCTATAAAATGGCAATGCAACAAGCAGGATATGACACTTAATCAAAACGTTCTTGGAATTTTTGATTAGCGGGGTGCTTGTGGATTATATAGGTAAAAGCACTTGACTTCAAATTGTTAGTTTTTTTTAATATTCAAAATTACCAAAAAGATATGGTGCCATAAATATGGCCATGGTAGGCATCATTTATGAAAGCAAAATAAATACATAAATATATACTTGCATAAAGCTTAAGTAACTTTTTATTATAACAACAATTAAAAACTTGGTTTAAAATCTAATATAAAAATTAAACTATTAGTTTAAAATTTGTATAAACTTTTACTTCAAATGTGGATTTTTGAGGATTTTTTGAGATTTGAGGATTTTTATTGACAGTTTATGCTTTTTGCTTTATTTTATTATTATTTTATTGTAATTTTCTCGTTGAACATTAAGTGTACTACAAATTGAAAGAGTATTTCTTAATATGGGACTCCCTAGAATATCTCTAGAATATTTCTTAAAAAAAGTTATTTAACTTTTCATTATTTTATCTGCAAAATATTTTTTTTTTGATTTAAATTAGTCACTATTAGACAAATATAAAAATTTTTGTTTGGAAAAAAAAAGGACTAAAAAACTTCTACACATCTTACTTAAATATCAAAGACTAGAGGACTATAAATACTGCTAAAGCAGAAAATAATAAATACTTAATCCGATATTTGACACAATTTATTTTGTTAAAAAGTTTAAACTAGAAAAATAGAAATATGTATTTGTTAAACAAATATACAAACAATCCAAATTTTGTTTTGATATAAATATATAATTGAACTTATATATAAAGATAAAATTAAAAAAGGCTGTATCAAATAGTTGTAGCAACTTTCTGTCACTGACATGTAACATGTCATGTTATATATACAAAAATATTATATATACAAAAATTCGAAAAACTTACTGCTAAAGAGTAAGGCGAAAATATAAAAGAAAAAAATTACTTAAAAAATGTTTAAAAGCGATGGAAGAGCTGTCTTCTTTCACTCTACTATCAAAAATATTTAAGAATTTGTAAAAAATGAATTGGTATATCAGCGATATTGAGCATTATCTGAAAAAGTTTAATTTGGATGATCCAAAAGTAGGTTTACAAAAATTTCGCATGCGCAATAGCGCAATAGCGCAAATCAAAAACATTCTTGGTCTGTGTTTTCTTCAAAATCGCAAACCTACTTTTGGATCATCCAAAAGATAGCTAACCGTATTAAAGTAGCAATTGTAAATGGCATATAATAAGGAACAGAATATTAATTAGCAAAGAAGATATAAATCAAAGCATATATTTGAAACAGTACTCCAGGATATGTTCACAAACAAAATATTCGCCCCCATAGCAACGCGTTGCTATGCAAATATTTTTTACTTGAGTTCAAAAAAACATAAATTAAACAAAAATTTATAAAAAAATGTTTGATTTTTTTTGCAGATTCAAAATCTGCATAAAATTTTGGTCTAAAATTATTAAAAAAAAAAAATCAAATTTTTAAAAAAATGTGAGGGTAGTTGCCCCTTAAGAAAAAAATACTTAAACAAAATTCTCCAAAATAACTATTACTTAGAAAAAAGATTAAAATATTAAAACAAAAGCTTAAACGAAAAGATAAAAAAATTGCTTCACTTAGCAAAGTTATTCAAAACTTGGAAAAAAAATAATTATTTCCATTGATATTGCTGAATTACTTGAGGACAACTTCTCTGGACTGACTAAAGAACTTTTGAAATCTGAATTAAAAAATAGAGGCAAAAAAAAAAGGTTATAGATACTCTGAAGAAGTTAAAAAATTTGCTTTAACACTGCACTTTTATTCTCCAAGAGCATATAAATTTGTTAAATCTACATTCTCATTACCTGCCGTAAGCTCACTTTCAAACTGGACCTCATCTGTATATTGTTTGCCTGGTTTTTTTAGGGATGTTTTCAAGTTTTTATAAAATAAGACATTTGAGGAGTCATCATACAAAGATTGCGCATTAATATTTGATTCTATGCATATCAGAGCTGCTCTGCGGTATGATAATGTTACTGGATCATATGAAGGTTTTTCTCGTTTTGGAAACAATATTCTAGTCTATGACCCAGATAAATTAGCAACAGAAGCACTTATTTTTATGTTTGTTGGATTGAAAGGCCATTGGAAATGTCCTATAGGCTACATATTGTGTGATAAAATTTCCTCAACGGGTTTAAGTTGTCTAATTAAAAATGCTTTACATTTATGCGCTACTCATAATCTGAATGTTTGGAGTATAACATGCGATGGACTTATTTCCAACTTTAGTGCAATGAAGAATCTTGGGTGTTCATTCGGAAGTAAAATTAAAGAGATGTGTGGTAGTTTTTTCCCATCCTGAATATGATCATCCTATATATTATATCCCTGATCCTTGTCATATGCTTAAATTAGCTCGAAATGCTCTGTGTAGTATCGGTATCTTTGTTGATGAACAAAATCAATATATAAAGTAGGACCATATTAAAATATTGCATAAACTGCAAGAAGAAGAAGGATTTAAGTTTGCAAATAAACTTGGCAATTACCACATTGACTTTCGCAGACATAAAATGAATGTTAAAATTGCAGCTCAAACGCTAAGTGGTTCAGTTGCTGATGCTATAGAGTTTTTGATGGTTTCAGGTCATCCAACTTTTATTGATGCCCAAGGCACAATTAATTTTATTAGAACTTTAGATAAATTATTCGACTTGTTAAACTCTAAAAACCTTTTTGAAAAAAGATCTAAGAAACCTTTGTTTTTGACTGAAACTCCAAAATGGATAGAAACCATAGAAAAATCTGTAAATTACTTAGTTAACTTATCAGACCTATCTAAAACTTCTTTAATTAAACACAGAAGAAAGATATTTGTACTTGGTTTCATTGTAGCAGCCACAAGTGTTAGAGATTTATCCCTTAACCTTTTATCTAGACATGAGAATCCTTTTGAATTTATTTTAACATAAACTGTCACAAGATCATGTCGAATAATTATTTGCTTGTATTCGAGGCAAAAATGGTTTCAGTAACAATCCAGATGCACGTCAAAGATTTTGATCAAAAATCTTCTGGCTCAATCTTTTTATTAAAGTGGAGTAAAATAAGATCTTCTCTTGTTGAACAAAATATAATATCTAGTGAGGATTCTAACTATTTTAAAGACCTTGCTGGTTGTCTTTCATCAGTCTCTACTTCAATTTATAAAGAAGCTATACTTGGATATATTGCAGGGTTCATTGTAAGAAAACGTTATAGTAAAATTACATGTCTGACTTGTGCCAATAGTTTAATTTCTCCGAAGACTTTATCCACTGATCATGAGTATTCTATATTTTGCAGTTCATCATGGAAAAGTTTTATAACTTTTAAAAATCGAGGTGGTTTAATCTTTCCATCCTGTAGTGTTTTAAAGATTGTTGAAAAATGTGAGCACGTTTTTAAAGTTTTGGTGTGTGGGGCAGACCACCATAGTTTAAAAATATCTTCTAAAAAAAATATTAAAACCTATCTGGTGCACTTTATAAATCAAAAACTTGCAAATGACGTACTGTTTACTGAACTAAATATGCATGATTTAGAACATGAGATTTTGACTGAAGACATGCATTCTTCACAGCTTTTAAAAAAAATTATAGAAAAATATTTAACATTGCGTCTACACTCATATTAAAAATAAAAATTTATACCTATTTATATCAGCAACACTTTTGATTTATTTTCATAATGGAATATGTGTTCTTTTATAACAATAACTTAAAGGTTTCCAACAGGGTACTTTTAAGTTACAGTTGTAAAAGTCAAAAACATATTTTTTGCCAACATATATTTATATTTGTCAAGTAAAAATGTAATATCTTTGTATTATATAATAATTTCTAACTTTCTTTATCTACAAACACTGTTTTTAAATAACAGTTTATAAATAGATATTTTTAACATTTAAAAAGTTAACATCACCAAAATGTTTTTTTTCTTTGCTGCGGCTACCGGCTTTAAAAAACTTGCTTCATATTTTCTTACGGAATTTATACAGTCATTACGGGTAACTTTGAACGGTTTGCGCTAGGTTTATCTCTACAAAAATTGTTTTACTAACTAGATAACAAATATTTTTACATAAAGGGTGTTCTGATGATCTCTTTTTTTCTAGTTTGTTATCATTTTTTTTAAATTTGCTAGATATTATGTAAAAAAACAATGTTCAAGTAGGCGGTTCAAAGTTACCCTCGCATTTCGGGTAACTTTGAACATTATTAAACTGAATGTCAATTTTAATCTTTTAAATCTAAAAAGTTGTTTAAATTTCTTTGTATTAGTTTAAATTAATTTTTTTAAAAATCTAGTTAAACTATTTCGAGAATAAACAAACAAGTTTTTCAATAAAATATTTTGAGAATAAACAAACAAGTTTTTCAATAAAATATTTCGAGAATAAACAAACAAGTTTTTCAATAAAATATTTCGAGAATAAACAAAAAGTTTTTCAATAAAATATTCACAAAATAATTTTTAAGGTTATAAAAGAAAAAATAATTAAGACATTATTTTTATATAATTCTCCACAAATAAACACCATTGACTATAAAACTAAATATTACAGTGTTTCATTCTTTTAGTCTTGAGTTACAATTAACTCTTTTACAAAATAATCATGATCAAGGAAAACATGTACATAGTGATTGTTTATTTGCTCCAATGAAAAAACTGCATCATTTTGAGAAACAGGTAAAACTTGTTCATTGTCTTCAATAACTTGATTAACATTTACGATGCTTGAACTTTGTAAAATATTAAGTTTTTTGTTTATTTTCATAACCATATTATTTGATCCAAGTGATCTTCCTCTTTTCTTTGCTCGAATATTATCTTGACTTTTTTTTTTTGTCTCTTTCCTTATAGTATGCTTCTACCTCAGTGGCTGATACACTTTTCCCTGCTGTTATTGGTAACTTAAATTTTTTGCTTATTTCATTATTAAGATGAATATCATCAACATAATTCCTAAACGATTCTCCAATATTGAGTTGAATATCTATTATGTTCTAGATTTTCTTTACCAACATTAATAGTAGATTTAATGAGCTGCGTAAACAAATTTTTTGGCAGGGTATTAACCTTTTTTTTTCCTCTGGATGTTTTACGCCATTGATTAAGAACTGACCTCCAATTACCTTTTAAACTCAAGAAATATCCAACATTGAAAGGTTGTAAAAGGTGTGTAGAATTGGGTACCAAACATATAAATTTTTAAAGATATATGAGCACTTAAATTATTGCAAATCAGAATTTTTTTACCTTCCTTATTTATAATATTTGGAACAAAGTGATTTAACAGCCACTCTTCAAATATTTGAATTTCCATCCAGCCACTGCAAGAAGTTGCCATTCTTGATCCTTCTGGTGCGTTGAAAAACCAGTCAGACCAACTGTGTTTTCCTTTAACAATGAAAAATGGTGGAATTAGTTTTCCTGAGGCATTTCCACAAAAAACAACAGTGTAACAAGTTTTTGTTGTGTTTCTTATATGTTCTGGATGGCAAGAAGATCGACGAAAAATAAGTTGTTTTTTTCCAGGGTCATCATGAAACCCTGTTTCATCCATATTGTAAATGTTATCTGGCGTTACTCCATTTAATTCCTTCTCTAGATTTTGAAAAAATAATTTTATTTGACAATAATTATTCTGTGCACGTTTCCTTGAAATACAATGAGATTTTGGATAAATTTAAATTTTTCTTTTAATGATGGATGCCTGTCAAGATAAAGTTTACACCACTCCCAACCTGGTTGGTTATCTTTAAACTGTTGTATATTTTTTCCACTATCATCCAGATAGATTTTGACAATACTTTTAAAATCATTAATTCCAATTGGTATACCTTTGTCACTTAAATAAAGTAAGTGATTTTCAAAACAAAGTTCCTCATCAATGCTAAGGGCAATAGGGCGCCCTACTGATTTACAGTGTTTACTTTTTAGCTTATAAAATAATGTTGCTTTAGGTACTTTATAAATTTTAGAAACTTCACCAATCGACATTTTTTCTAATTTAATTTTGGCTAAAGCCTCTTGAAGTGTAGAATTGGTGTAATTAGATTTAGTGCCATATTTTCTTGTGCCAGGATGAGTTGTCGAACATTTTCTTGGCATTTTATGAATGCTAAAAATATAAAGATGATTTATGTTATTAATGAAAATTATTTAATTAATTGCATATTTGCTATTAATAAAATATATTATTAAATCTATCAGATAGCCATAAATATCAAAAATTAATATAATAGTAATAGATATTATAATTTTTGATATTTATAATATCATATATCATTATATAATAAAAATACTACAATAAAAGGATGCCTATTATTTATTATGTAATATTGCAATGTTACTCAGACAGCAAAAAAAGCATTTTTGGAAAATATTGATTGTCTAAAGTTACCCTGAATTTAGTTATATTTTAGCTAAGTGGAAATAAATATCCTTTTTGTAGCAAAAAACATGTTAAATCCTATTATTTTGAGTTTTTATTAAAGTTCGAAAAATAATTCATTAAAATACTTAAAAATCTATTCAGATAATTACAATATAATACCAAATATTCTAAATTGAAAACACACAATGTTATCACCACATTCGACTGTGTAACTGGAAATGGAGGAAAACATTATTTTTGAGAAATAAAATTTAATTTTCTTTGGTCAAACTTTTGTAAAAAAAGATAATTCATCATATTATTCTTTGTTAAAGCAACAGGCAAAGAAAATACCAAAGAAAAAAAAATTAAAAACATTTACACGTTTAGTTCAATGTTACCCGCAAATTCAAAGTTACCCAGAATGACTGTACGAAGTAAGACATCTAGTTAAATATATATCATTGACATAATACTACATCAAACAAAAAGCATTTAAGTAAAATATCCCGACGAAATGCAACTTCGATGCTCTATGCTTAAAGCTTCAGCTATTGCAGACACTATTATTTTCAGTTACTTTTAGTTACAGGTAATTTTAGTTAAATATATATATATATATATATATATATATATATATATATATATATATATATATATATATATATATATATATCTATATATATATATCTATATATATATATATATATATATATATATATATATATATATATATATATATATATATATCTATATATATATATATATATATACATATATATATATATATATATATATATATATATATATATATATATATATATATATATATATATATATATATATATATATATATATATATATATATATATATATATATATATATATATATATATATATATATATATATATATATATATATATATATATATATATATAAACGTTTGAAATAAATAAAACTGAAGAGAGTTAATCATTATTTAGTAAGCAGAACAGAATAAAAACTGCAAATATTCGGAAATTCACTTTTATCAAGTATCAAAAAACAGATCACCGTGAGTGAGAGCGACAATTTCCGTAGGGTTTATTTAAAACATAAACTTAATTTCAATGCAAATTTAGTATGTGGTATATCTTCCGGACAAAAAAAATGAGACCAAGTTTAAGATTTATTTTCAAAATAATAAATGAATAACAAAATTGTTCAATATAAAATAATGAGTAAAGCTTAATTTTTAAAACAATTTATTGATCAATATCCGGTCACGTGTCCTTGGACTTCTATGCATTTTTGAACGGTTCATACTGTCATTTAATGACTTCAAATAATCCAAGGAGAGTCCGTTGCAAACT